CCAAAACCTGAACGACCTGGAACCTTCCTTAAAGAGTGGGGCCCAGGCCGCCCCGATAAAATTGTTCAAGTTTTGTCCATAATGAGGGTCAGAATGTTGACGGTGTAAGTCGGCAATCACGTATCTCGGTCTGCGACGTTGCGTCGCAGACTTCCTGACATCATTATTTTTTTAACTGAAAACTACATTGTCATTATTAATATGTTGGAGCGCCTTCAATTTCGTATGATACTGTGTAACACATAATTTGTGAAATAGTTACGGCGAGCGGGCGGCCAGCGCGAAACGCGCCTACAAACCTAAGTGGATACTTCAAGCATTGCGCAATGCGTGAAGTATCCACTTAGGTTTGTAGGCGCCAGAGGCGTGCTGGCCGCGCCGCTTCGCTCTGTTTGGCTCTAATATTTAAACTCACAGAGTCAGCGTTTTTCAACTCATGATTTTGAAATTTTTACACTCTACATGGATTATTATCTTTTAAATTGATGAAAAAAAAAAAATAATGTGTATCAAAAGGACGTATTTCTACCAAACAGACCTATGTGGTGATGAGAAATGTGGGGTGTGCTCTAGAAATCTGGATAAGAAGCAATGTAAAAGTGTGCGTGGTTCCTTTTGAAGAATTGGCAAAGCGGGATATTGCATTCTATCAAACAGACCTATGTGCAGCTGAGTGCAGAACTCATGAGCCGCGGGCATGGCAAGAGAGCCTTGTGCACAGGGCTCATGAGTTAAACGGCGACGTTGCCGGGCGGCGTTGCTCCCGTCATCGTCGCTGACGTCACTGGCGCTTTATTATTCTCATTCACTCTTACGGCCAGAGACTAACGAGCACACCCCATATTTCTCACTTCCACATAGGTCTGTTTGGTAGAACTACGTCCAAAAGAGAATATCGACGGTGTAAGTCAGCAATCACATAACTCGGTTTGCGACGTCACAGACTTCCTGTCATACTTTATTGTTTAAACTGAAAACTACTCAGCGGCAATTCTTTAGAACTGCCGTGATTTTTCTTCTCTGTGCGAAAAAAATTCTGCAGAAACTTCAAGGAATGATGCCAATTTGTTCTCCTTTAAAAGAGTAGCATAGAGGCGGATATTTTCAGACATCGCAAACGAGATACGTGGTTGCGGACTTACACCGTCAAAGGAGTGATAATCTTTTTAATATAATAATCTTCTCCAAGGTGACAAAATTTCATGGAAAAATGAAATCTTGAAATTTATCACGTGAAATATTTCATGAAATTTCAAAAACTTATGGACGATATTGAAAAATACTGGTTCCTTTTCATGTTTCGTAAAATGTAAAAATTGTGATTATCTTCCATTTTTATCTAATTGAGTGCGGGTTGCATACTAGCCCCTGAAAAATATGGATTATTTCACAGCCTCGTGAAATTTCATGAAATATACCACTGAAATTTTCAATCTTTCAAATCTTTCTTACGCTTGATGCCACCCTGATCTCCTCCAGGATAATTTTTTTTTAATAACAATTGATTTTCGTCGCCTGGGAACCCCAAAAAGAGGTACCGGGTTCCTCGTGGTGGGATTGTTCTACGTAAGTAGTCCAGAGCGGTTTCGACAGTTCCTAGGGGAGGGGAAGGGGGGTAAAGTTGGAGGCCTAGACAGCTACACCTCGGTTAACCGTCTTAAACAATTCGGATCTAATTAAAAACTCAAAACAGCATTAGTGAGTTGAAAACAGTAGCTCTTGGCGCGGGCTGACCCCGTTCTGCCTCCGAAACAGAGCCCCGCGCTGCCTTGGGTCTGTGTCTGCTGTGTCTGTGTCTGCTGTGTCTGTGTCGTGCGCTTCCATTATGCTTAAGCTCCGCAAAAGTTTTAATGGGGAACAAACGCGATTTGAAAGCGAGCTTGCCGGATGGGGCTCCTCAAAACTCTTATCATGATGGATATACGACCATGCATATCCATGGAGACAGAATGAACCGTGCTAAGCTGAAAAGAACCAAGCCAGATCAGCTATTGCCAAATGGACGTATTTCTATCAAACGGAACTAAGCACCATAGGGGAAGGAAGGGAGAGGGGGGCTTGGATTGGCGGGTGTTTCGGAACGCGATGATAGTCCGTCGTATATACTCGCAATGCTTTCTCATGGCGCTTAGTTCCGTTTGACAGAACGCGCTATCCGGGGTTCTAAAATCCTCAAAAGGCACTCAATTTGGCGCTTAGTTCTGTTTAACAGACATACGTTCAAATTTAATTGAGCTATTCGATTTAACGCTTGAAAACGGTCGTGCGAATTTTTTTGCTAATTCCAGTGAATATTCTGCATAATTTGAAACAATGTTTCTTAAAATTCTCAAAAAATCCGCACAGCTGTTCTCATGTAAGAAATTAAATCGCTCAACTACATTTTGAAACGGCTGATGTGACTTGGTTCCTTTCTGCCAAACGCGGTCCGAATAATCGGTCTTTAAACCATGAACGAATTTTGACATGCGAATATATGTTTCTGAAGGTAAATGATGCGTAAATCGCTAGACAGAAGTTGAAAACTCGGAAAAGCCACTCAGAAACCGAATTATATGCAGGGCCAAAAGCGCAACTTTTTCGCAAATCTAAAACGCCGCGGTTTCGCGCCGAACCGAATGATGTCATCCAGCACCAATCAGAAGCGAGCACGAATGGTGAATCGTTCATTCTCAGAAAAATTTGTTCTAGATTACACTTGGGTGAAAGGACTCATTGAACATCGAGAATCATTCAACCAGTAAAACTCAATTTCCAGCCCGCGCCAATGGTTTTAATTTAAAGCAGCACAGATTTAAATGTCTAAAGGTTTTACGAGGCATATGACTCGATTTAATTTTTATTCCCAAAAGTAATATTTATGGAAATAAAAACCGTCTCCTTCCACTTCAGTTTTTGATTAAGATCTTCAATTCATTTGCGGACAATTTCCGCCTCTTAAATTTACCGTAAAAGGTGACTGTTCTTAAAACGGAAAATTGTTTAGCCTGCTCTTTGCACTCAACTTTTTTTCATTGCTTCAAAAACACATATCGAATTGAGATATCTGTTTTTGAGAGAAATTACTCTAACAAACTTATGTGTGACCTACAAATTGCGCGAAAAAAGCTGCTTATTACAATCAGTACAGGTTAAGAACCAAGTGTGAAAATCGGCAAAAAAAAAAAAAAAAAAAAAAAAAAAAAAAAAGAACTAACAAACAAAACATATATAAAACGACGAATATTTGTTTGTATCTTAATCGAGATAATCAAAGTCTAGATCATGCATGCTTTGAGACGATTATTTAAAAAGTTTATGGCGTGAAACGCAACACTGAGTGTTGTGGCAGATGTATCTGAACGCTTTACGCGTTTTGTGATTGAAAGAGAGAACGTCTGAAGAACTCTTTAATTCTATAGCGCAGGAGTTTTTTATGCGCGATGAAACGCCTTCAAAATAGAAAGATGCAGCTACACAGACGTTACGTATTACGAAGCAGAGCTGAAAATGAAGGATATTCCTGATGGATCCTGATATGACTCAGGCGTTCTAATAGGTATAACCCCCCCCCCCCCCGCCACCAACATAGAACACTTAATGTAAATTTTGTGAATGTTTAGCATTTTAAAATACCAAAACAACCTTGTTATCCGCAATTTTCTATCTAAAATATGATATTAATTTCTTAATTAAATTTATAAACGAATTTACAAATTCAAAAAAACAATAGTACATTTTCTAGTATCTGAAACGGTTAAATCAGGGACAGCATTTTCCACCCTCAAACTTATTGAAAAACCATTTGTCCATCCATTGAAACATCGCACATGTGCCCTGGCCTTGTCAAGGGCATAATGCAGGTAAATTAATTATTTCAAAATGTGTCCGGATCATACAGACATATTTTTTAAAAAGGCTTCTGGTGCCTTTAGAAGAGCGGGGGCTGGAAGGAGGGTGCAACACGTAGGAAGAGAACAAAGAGAACAAATTTCGACACGTTCCCGAGACATTTTTGTTTTGTTTTTTCCCCCCAATACGACGCACTGGACTCGAACCGAGCCGTGATTGTGCTCAGAATCATTTATTATCATCGCATTTTTTGTCCTGGTCGAAGGGCGGGGCGTGGCGTGGCGGGGGCGGAATAGATAACGTATGTGAAATAACGTGTTCCAAATAAAAGATGTGCCGGCTGTATTTCATCGCATCGATACGATCCGTCACCGGGGACTAATTGTGAAGCTGACCGTATTAATGGGGGCCACAAGCGTTGACAAAATTAACTTTACTCATCCGTACTTTTTCAGAGTGGTTGCAGGAACTCCCGCAAGATAGCGCAACGGAGCAGCCCGGATTTCAGCCTGTATTTTCAGTAAAGCAATGAAGTCGAGTTCCCGCAGTAATCGAATAGCACTTTTTTATTTTAAGTTTTTTTCCGGTCGTAACCCCCCCCCCCCTCTCACGTCTCTCCAATTCGTGGTCCACTTGGTCGGGTCAACCGTAGTAAATAACTGAGAAGATACTACGCACAGGAATCATTCTTATAGAAAATAACTTTCGATGGCGAAAGTGCAAAACCACGTATCTACGTTTGCGACGTTTTAGTCTTTACTTTTTCCTTGACAAAATAGTCAACTTAATTTCTTGAACTTTTTTTGATTTTTCTTCTCTGACAGTAGAATATTCTTTTTACATTTCACGCTTGAAAGTCGACACGTTTCTCCTCGGAAAAATAAACTAGCAGCGGAGATTTTGAAAACCCAGAATGGAGAGACGTGGTGTCAAGTGCGACACCACGATCCATCGACCAGCCATCGATTTGATGATACCCTCTGGTTCATAGTGTTACGTACACTGCTGTTACAGTACACGTACACTTGTTACGTTTACGTACAAAGTGAAAATTTCTACCATCTAGGATCATTTGAGAGTAAGATATTCTATCTGATGAAACTTAATAATGAAACTCTAATGATGAGAATTCTTTTACTCGGAACTGACAAACCAAAAGGCGCACTTACCCAATATTCCAACCGGAATGTCTTTCAGCTCCTTTTCAATCTCGTCAAAAACGGGCTGACCCTTGCTAAAGTCAACAGCAATGACTTTTGTTTTGACTCCAAATTCGGACTCTGCAAACAGACAAAAGTAGAAAAGTTTTTAAACTCAAAAATGAAAGATATATACATTATTAATAAAGAAAAAACAAATACACGCGACAGAATTTTAAATGTGATGAGAATTAAGTGAAAGTGAGAAAAATTTGAGATCTTAAAAATTCAGAAACGCTAACTTGAAAATGGCACTAAACCCTAGATGAATGGCAGAAATCCTAATTGTATGATTCCAAGATCATTTTCTGACGCTTGCAGATCAGATACATCGTCGCTCCTCTGACCTAAGAGCGTATCTCTATTTTCACGTGAACCCTGAAAATCGTGGGATTATAAGAAGCAGGGCTCAGGTAGAAATTGAGTTACGTCTTTACGTCAGAGGACCAACGACAGCAGTGGTTAAGTGCGGAACCACGTATCTCCGTTTGCGAAGTTGCAGACTTACTTTCATATTATATTATTTCATTAAAGAACTGATCGACGTATTTTCTTGAAAATCTTCTTGACTTGCCTTCTCTACAAGTAAAATATTCCTCAAAAATTTCAAGCTATTAAGTTGCCTATTTTTTCTCCAAAAAGATAAAATTAGAGCGTGAATTTTGAAACAACGCAATGGAGATCCGTGTTACGCACTTTGGCCATCGACTTGAGAAGAAGTTTTGTGCTTAAAAGTCTCAGTTATTATCAGTTTTCTTAGATTTTTTAATAATTAGGATCATGAGCCACAGAAAACACCAGTCTAAATCAATTATTGTTTTTCAATCCTCTTTTTTGTTTTCACTTTAGCAGTGACATAAGTTACATCTTCCATGTTCCAAATGCATCAAATCCTATGAGTCAAATAAACGGTGAGTATCAATTTGATCCTAAATCAATCTGGTCGTGAGTGCAGTGACGCTTACTTCCGATGATCTGCTTGCCTCTTTTCATTTCCGTAAATTCTGGTTAGACCTTCAGTAGATGCAATCAATGGTGACCGATGAAGATGGAGACTGATCTTCACCGACCACCAGTCGGTTCATGGTGCGGAGGTGCAGTCACGAAGATTTAACGCCCTTGGGCAAAACTTGTATAAGCGGCAGAGGCGCATTTTTTTTAGCGGTCTTTCCTCCTTCTAGTCCGTCGCCAATGCGTGATTTTAGTGCTGCGTGTAATTACTAATGCACTAGTTTGTAGTGTTGTACAATTGTGTTGGGCGAATTTCCGCGAGAGGAATTCGTCAAATTTTCCGACATGACTTGCAGAATGGTTGCAACCATAAGAGGGGGAAGTTATAGGACATTTCGTCAAAGATTTTTTGTCCGCGCACTTGTTTTTTCCAGTAATTTACGTCCACGCGTTTTTTCGGCACGGAGGTTTTGGTCCACGTGCCAGTTGAGACCCAAAGTTAATTGGTCCACATGTAAATACAAACGACAATTACTCACAACGTTTTTGGATGAAAATGTATAATGTCTTGGAAGAATGAGGGTTTGCTTGTTTTTTTTTTTTTTTTTTTTTTTTTTTTTTTTTTTTTTTTTTTTTTTTTTTTTTTTTTTTTTGGGTTGTTTGATCCAAAGGAGAATAATGTATAATTGAGATTTTTGGTAAAAATGAGGGAGCGTCAATTCCATCAGACAAAATTCACTAAAACTCTCTACACCTCTTTGGCGCAATAGGACTTAATTATCTTTCAAGAAATTCCCACCTTGTTATATTTATGAACCTCTTGATTTGCCTCAGCTAAAGGCTCTTAGATTTTTCCTGTGTCCGATAAGTATCATTATTTATTTTGCGAGGAAACATCTGTACTTTTGAAGGATGCCTGTCATTCTTAATACGTTCAATTTCGTATAATATTGTGCAACACCTCTGTTGTGAAATAGTTGCTTCAGGCGCCGCCGCATGGCGGGCGGGCGGTCAGCGCGGAACGCGCATTGGCGCCTAGAAACCTAAGTGGATACTTCAAGCATTGTGCAATGCGAGAAGTATCCACTTAGGTTTGTAGGCGCCAGTAAGCCTCTCACGCTGGCAGCACGCCGCGCCGCGCGCCGCTCCGCTCTGTTAGGCTCTAATATTTATACTCGCATAGTCAGCGTTTTTTAACTCATGATTTTGAAATGTTTGCACACTCTGCATTGATTATTCTCATTTAAATTTGTGAAAAAAATATATGTATCAATTTATCAAAGGATAGTATTAATATAATGTGTTTTTTTAAATATTGGTGGTTCCGTGTCAATTTTAATGATTTCCAATGCACTTTATTTTTTTATTTTACATTCTGTGCTTTTGCTGTGCTGCAGCAAGGTGTGCGAGCAACGAAACACTCAAAATTTGACGTATTTGACTCTAAAAGATCGATGTACAAATCTGTTAAAAGTAAAGATTGCGTGCTTCTTGCTTTTTTTCTTCTCTTATTCATTTTTGCGGTTTCTTTCGGCACAACTGCGGCTCATTGAGATTAATATCGATGCCATCGCTTGGAAAAAGTTTTACAAATGTTTGTCACGTTTTAAAAATATAAATGTTTACAAAATGAAGTAATAATTTCGTAAAAAAAAACTTTAAAAAAAATATAAAAAAAGTACCTATGCAAGTGTAAGGTATATTGTACATCGAATATTTTAAGGATAGAAATAAAACCATATATTCACCAATGACAATTTAAAAAGATGACTCAAAAGGAGAAAGTAACATTTCATTAGAAAATAAGCAACCATAACAACACCTCCTTCTCTCTCAATTTCATAGTGTCAATAAAATTTTACATACCAACTAAAATATAACACTTGAACTAAGTCACTGTTGCTTATTTTACGTGTGAGCGTAAACTACTAGACAAAAAAGGTGCGCGGACAAAAAATCGTTGACAAAATGTCCTGAAACCGAGGAGGAACGCTCTGCTGAAGTCAAGGACTAAACTCAGATAATTGATGATTTTCAGCTAAAGGTTGCATCCATCCACCTTTCGAGGTGGGATGAGAATTTCAAATGTGGCCGTCATTTCTGCCAGCATGAAAACCTTAAAAGTTGGAGGCGCATCTTCGTCACCCAGATGACTTCATTGACATCTCGTTTCCACTGGCATGACATGGCACGCTTTGCAATGTATCGATTGATCTGTCATTTAAGTCTATGGAAAAGAATCGATGAACAGGGTGATCAGCGTACACCTCAATAATCGATTCTTTACCATGGCTTTAAATGGGAAAATATCGATAATCCATCATTCACGCTTTGCATCTTTTCGTTTTGTTGTAACACATGGAGGTTGGCAGTAAGCAAAAAAAACGTTACCGAATCCACTCGCAAATATTCGACTGTTCTTGTTAGTCTTGACTGACCGTCATAAGCCGCATCCTTCCTGTACCCATCCTACACATATCCTGTCTGACATAATACTAAAACTTATGATGACGCCCTAGTACAATTATCCACCCTGATGAAAAATACTTGTTTAAGACGAATCGAAAGATAATTATGAATTCTTGAAACAAAACTGAACATGCAATTTTTGGACCTGTTTATTTTTATTGGCAGTTTTTAGTTGCAATATATTGGCAACTTGATTCACTTTCGGAAGGATGAAAATATAATAAAGCAAGTTTGTAAAAATTTTGAAGAAATACTATACTTTATTACATAGAGACTCCCGCAGTGATATGAGATCTGAGCCTTAGATCGATCCATTGGGTCATGACTCTGAGATGAAGCAGGTTTCAATATCGGCCATGTTCACAATCGGATCTCACATGCCGGCAACTTACAAAGATCCCAACTTTCTCTTTCCGTTCAAGCTTTTGCAGCCTGCATTTTGCACCCTTTTTCCTTGGTCCTATTTATCCCTAGATCGTCGAAAGATACACAGCCTCTAGTTTGTAACTTGACTCTGGAGGCACATTGCAGCTTTTTCCTGGAGAAAGTTGGTGCATTTTGTGGGCAAGAAATCATTGACTTTATGGCAAATGAGACTTGCTGCAAATCGAAACTGCGGAAGAACCTCGCCCTCCAGTGGCGAGGCGTGAATGATCGATTATCGATATTTCTCCATTTGAAGCTATGGTAAATAATCGATTATTAAGGTGTTCGCTGCGAACACCCTGTCTATCGATCATTTCCCAAAGGATTAAATGGCAAATCAATCGATACATCGCAAACCACGCCACGCCACCGGCGCCCTCAACTGATCAGACTCATGAGTATAGTTTTTATGAATATCCTCAATTTCACAAAATGTCACCTTCCTCAGAAAAGTTTTTTTCGGAAAGTAGACTATACGAGCTGTTAGGACTCATAGCTTAGAATCATGTAGAGTCGAAGGACACAAGTACACTTGTTTATACAACTAGGATAATAACGTCATTAAATATTGTAAAAACTTTTTAAGCAACATCAAAGTAAATAAAACGAATGATGTCAATTTCTATGAACGGTGAAGGTGGTGAGGTTTTTTACAAAATAACGTGAAAAAATAAGCATTACGAAAGTGACAAAAAATTAAATTTTGGAGGTCGAGAGGGAATTGATCATATCATTTATTATCATTTTCAACTAATGCGCCCACATTTCTCATGAAGTACTACTACAAATAAGTCAAACGGAACCAACAAAACACAGAAATAATGCAAGGGAAAGGACGCGTGTTGATGACGGCGCAGAGATACAACTATTCGTGCTCGGTGGATGTCCATGTTGCATCTGAAAAATTGAAGGCTCGATGGTGCGAGACGCGAACTAGCAATGGGCCAGTTGCAAACTTTTGCTAGAGCAAAAATAAGAGTTGTTTCTTGTAGATAATGCCTCAAAAATCACGATGAGCGCATCGGCAAAATCTGAAATGCACTCATAACTTCACAATCTGCGTAAGAAATTTGCATTTTTTTAAGCTTCCCGCTTCAAAAACGATACCACGGCACAGGTGAACATTTTGTTAGAGGAGTCGCTCCATCGTCGGCGATATTCATCATGGCCGACGCTTGCGCGCAGTTCCGCGCGTAATTCGAGGAGAGTTCAAGGTCAACCAATTCGGGCGTGGA